ACACCAGAGACGGCGTAAACTGGCATATACGAAACTAGCCCTCTGTATTCGTACTGAGATCTCGTCAGCGATCAACTCGTTGGCACTGGCTGATGGTACTTCCCAAATAAGTGAGGTGGCGGTCAACGTGCTCTACCACTTCATTCCCTATTTCTAAACTAGGAGTCGGTGTAGTCCAGTCCTGTAACATCATCTTACATTCGGTGGGAGCGAATCGCATGCCAAACATTCGTAGATTGCAGCTTAAGGTGTTCAGAGCTCTGGATCTACGTTTCGTCGGTATTCCCCCCCCCACCCCAATAGAGTGTATCTACAACTTCGTAAGGACTAATTTCTTCCCTTTAGGTCCACTCACACACACACTTCAATTATTAGTGTATTGTACTCAGCAACGTTACTACTTAGCAATTTAGTCTGACTACTTTTTTTTATCATACTCTTACTGTGTTTTTTTCAATTCAAGATTCAATTTCACAGAGAGACTCTGAAGTTATCCTGGTGTATTATAAATCTTATTATTATTACTTTAATATAAAGTGAGAAAGTCTTTCAGTAAAATCTCTTCGAAATATTCATTTATTATAAGTATTATGATGGGCATAATTCTAGCCTACAACACAAATAAATCAAAACATCTTTCATGCTCAGCTCAGCTTAACTTTGCCAGTTGAGTAGTAGTAGTACTATCGATTACTGTCATCTCACGATACATGTGTAAACAGAATGTGGAATTCTTTTTCAAAAGAGGAAATAAATAAAATAATAAAAAAAAGGAGAAAAGACATTCACGTTTTCAAACAAAAAGAATTGGGATGAAATAGAGGGAACAATTAAAGTGTGAAGGGTTGATAACAACTGTGTACTCTTTTTCTAACTCCCTTTCACTCTCTTTAACCAACCAACCAACGGGGATATGGGTGTGGTCAACTTATTCACGTATTTTATACTCCTTCTTCTTCTTCTTCTATTGAATTCATTTCAGAAATTCATGAAATCAGACGTTAGTTTACGAACTGACTAAAGAGAATTCCATTATGGGTAAAATTTGTTTTGATAAAGTCTCACAATTGTTCATACAGTAATGTTGTTGACTGACTAAGAGAATGTTTTCTAAAGGTGTGTGGGATTTGCAGATAGTTTTAACTTTGACGTATTTTTTCATGAAACATTGGCGAGGGGAGAACAGGATGTGTTACTCGAGAACCACACGAGTTCGAGTCTGATCCCGCTGGATATCGAAGCGGAGACCTTCGGTTAAAAGGGGAGCGAATTCGCTAATCATTTAGCCACTCAGAAGAGGGATCCATTCCAGTCCCTTAATTCTAACTTCATTTATTTCACGATTTTTAGTCCCAATGATATCCAGTATCATCGACAATCATTTGTACTCATATCGGAGGTGATCGACCCTACTGGTCATGACTTCAGGCACCTTAGTCCTGTAGTTAGTTAGTTAGTCACTAGTTATGGTTCCGTGTAACAGATGTCGATTCGTGACCAAGCATGCAACCAATCAAATCTCATCCTATTTTGGTTTCTTTCATGGTCAATGAAAATTATATACTGGTCATATGTGTACTTTTTTTTAACCTTTAGTTTTAAGTTTTAATTTTTCATGACACAAAAGTAGTATCTACCTAGGTAACTGTGGTTTGTTAACTATCATTACAGTTAGAATAAAAAGGGATACAAGTTGATGTTTTTGTCGTCCTATAGACATTTACGGTTCCTTACACTGAGTGGCCTCCAACTACTGCTAAATAACAGGTCATAGGTTCGAACTTCGTTTTACCTATCAAGGTTTTAGCAGTCATGCACTACCGCTAATCCTTATATATATATATATATATATATATATATATATATATATAGTGGTTCATTACTAACCACGCATAGAATTATTTATTTATTATTTTTCAACTCCAATGTGAAGTCAGTGCTACTTATTGTATATGGATCAGAGACTTGGTGCGTCATAAAGAGCATCTCAAACAAACTACAGACCTTCATCAACAGCTGCCTTCGCGCAATACTCAAGATCAGATGGCCAGCCAGAACAGATCAGCAACAGGGATCTCTGGCAATGAGCGAACCAACCAACCAGGAACCGATTGTGAAACAAATAGGCAGGAAGAAATGGAGATGGATTGGCTGGCCATACTCTGAGAAAACAATGCATCAAGTGACATCACACGCCAGAGCATCGCTCGAGTGGAACCCGAAAGGGAAGCGGCGAGTTGGTCGTCAGTGCAAGGTCGACTTGGGGGAGGTCATGTGAAGAGGAGATGAAAGCATGTGGGTAGACTTGGAGCGGGGTGAAAACGTTGGCAGAAACCCGTAGGCAATGGAGACGTTTGGCTGAAGCCCTATGTTCCTCTAGGAATTAAAGAATATAATAATAGTAATAATAATAATAATAATTTTATTGAGACCAAGTCATTTAAAAACTCTTGTGAACCAGAGAGACTAAAATATTTCTTTCTATCAAACCTTGAGCTGATTTATTATTTCATTTATTTATTTAAACGCATAAAAACTTGGTACACTATGGTATCAAGAAAGATGCACCATACAATAATAATAAAACAACATAGATTAAAAGTAAAAATATGAGTAGAGAATGGATAAAGAACTTCACCTGGATGGAAAACAGTCATGCTTAACAAGTTCAAACAGTATTCGTTAACTATCATCGGGAAAGGAAGAAAGAAGGAAAATGCAACACGTTCTCCATTGATTACGATTCTTGACCATATCAGATGTTTCGAGCAATCTCGCGGACCCCAACCAGGGAGTCGTGACTCACCAACCGATGCTAGTCTAGCACGGACATCCTTCACCCCACGACGCCACATCATAGACTGACTACCCCTCCGCCTTTTCCATCCCGTCCCAGGGCTACGCATAGAATTACAAGTGTTTGTTGAGTTTGACTTGTCATCTCATGCTTATACATCAGTTTTCAAAGGAACTGAATACTTATCCTGGTCTGTTTTACAAGACTAGCACTGTATATAGTAGGTGTTATTCTGTGAGACAACTACTCGGACACCTTCTACCCTGGTGGATCATTCATATTCAAGGGAAATGAATAAAATAGTGTAGTTTGAATAATTCCTCTTTATTTTTCGCTTTTGCTTACTTTGAAGTGAGCCAACTTAAGCAGGGAATATCCTTTGAAAATACTTCTAACTCAGTAGACACTCATATCTCTAATCGAATAACTGATAATTATAAGAAAAATTGGCAAAAATAAGTTGTATATACATTATAGTGAATGAATGAGTTAGTGTTATGAACAACATTAATGTTGTTTAAATAAGATCGAATCAATAATATTGATAGATTACAGCTCAATAGCATCAACATAAAATAAGCTGAATGTCAGAAAAATCGGTAGGAAGGATAATATTACAAATTCATGAATTTATAGTCTCTACTGAAGGCTGGCCAAGGCAGTAGTAGGGGCTGGACTTGCTTCTTTTGAACACAGAGCACTGGTTGTTTGAGGCGGTGAATTGCAATAGCCTCTGCTGTTTGGAGCATACGGTGCTTCGATGATTTTGACAATTTATTAGGCACCCGGTAGATTATGGAGAAGGATTCTTCCACTCTGGTTTTGGTGGCCGGTTTGTACCAGATGGTCCAATGTCGAACTGTTAATGGTTTTCACTACACCTTTACTTAGCCATCATGGGAGATGTTTTCGAGCGAGTACGAAAAATTAAGTTCCTAGAGCAACGGCCAATATAACTCGCTCCACCATCAGCGCAGTTGAATTGGTAGATACAATTCGAAGTGGCTAGTCTAGGTACTCGATCTTTCAGTCGAGGTAGCACCATCGGTCGTGTAGAGAATAAGACGTGTAGTTCTCCATCATTAAAAGTTCTTTGAACTGATTTGCTTAATTTCTTCGTAATTATCTCACTTGGTATATCGCCCTTGAGTTTTAGTTATATATAAAGTGGCTTGTTGTTTACAGATAGTGAGTAGTCCTTTTCCACTTTCCTTGTCATGTGTTTCTTGGTAAATTTTTCGGGATAGCTATTTTCGATCAAAGTATCATACACAATGACTAATTCATATTCAATTACTTCTTATGAGCATACAGCTCTAACTAACCCTGTGGCTGACAGTCTTCACTAAATTTCTTTTGTACTTGATAGGAACGAAGCTGTGAAAATGTGTATAATGTCCTGTTCAATTACTGTTTATGCTACCATCTTGTTTTCTTGGAAGTAGGACATCCAGGAAGCCGATTCTGTCTTGGGATTCCTCTTCGTATGTGAATTTCATAGCCGAATGTACTTATGTAATTATGTAATTATTGTACTCCTATCAGAACCATTATCACAAAGAATGAAGGTGTCATCCATATATCGACAATAAAATGAGAGCTTACTGATAAGGTTGTTCAAAGCTCCATTTTCTAGCTTACTTAGAAAGAAATCATTCATTCACTATAATGTATGTATAAATGTAGAGCCTGTTGATAAAGAGGTTATCGGAAAGAGTACTCTTTGTTAAGTATTCATTCTATTAAAAAATTTTAATGGGCATTTTTAATTAGTTAAAAATAAGTTGGTTTATAGCTAACTGATGTCAGCTACGTGTGATTACTGTAAAGGGAACCGGCTGGAAAAACGTTGGAGCTGGGCAGCAATATATATATATATATATATATCAACCAGTTGAGTCCACTGCTTTTCATTGCTGTGCGTTCCGGGTGAAAACGCATTACTGCAGACACTGCTGTACGCAGTAGCACAAATTCACTAACATAACTGAATAAACAAAAGTGGTATATATATGTGTTTGTACTTTGCTGTTTTGGTTCTATGGTTTACGTTTAACTTCATCGGTAATCACTCATCATCAGTCATGTTTATTTGTCTCATAGAGGTGTTTTCTTTTTTGTGTGCTTCATTTACGAGGCTCTACTGTGTATAATTAGCGTGCTATATATGAACAGATACTTACTTTTGTATTCTAAATTTCAGTGGTTTATTACGATGAACTGGATCGAATCGGGCATCGATATGGTCCGTTATCTGATGAATTACTTAACAAACATTGGATTTACTTGGATAATGTAGTAGATCATGCATTGAAGATTGTTGAATCTGTTCCAAATTTGAATTTAATTATCACCTCAGATCATGGAATGGCACCAGTTTCACGTATGACTTATGTTGATCGTTATCTTAAAGGGTAAGTAAAATAAAAAAATATTTGATTTTATGTTTCGATATTTCTCTTGTATAATTATCACAATCTTTGAAGTGTTTTTTACCTCCCTGAATAGGATGCAGACACAGGAACTCCGTCCCTAACTGAGGTTACTAAAGCTGTCACTAGTCTGAAACAAGACAAAGCAACGGGACGTGATGGAATGACTCCAGAGGTAATTAAGTACGGTGGAGACAGTTTAATGTCTGAATTAACTGAGGTACTAGGCAGTATCTGGGAATCAGAAGTCCCGTCGGATTGGTATAAATCACTGATTATCCCCATATACAAGAAGGGAGACAAGTCTTCTTGTGATAATCATAGGGGGATTAGCTTGATTAATATAGAATCTAAAGTTCTAGTCTCAATAATCATGCGTAGACTAAGTGGTGCTCGGGAGGCACAAACACGAGAGAACCAGGCAGGCTTTAGACCAGGAAGACGGTGTATTGATCATATCTTCACCCTTCGACAGATTCTGGAACATAGCCATTCCTACCGGCGTCCAACAATCGTTGTATTTCTTGACCTAAAGACGTCATTCGATTCTGTCGACCGAGAGGTACTCTGGCGATGCTTGGCTGTGAAGGGAATGCCTAGAAAATACATTGAACTGATTAAGTCACTCACTCTACTCGAACTCATGCAGCCAGATGAGGGCTTACGGCGAGTTGTCGTCTGAAGTGGTGACAACTAGTGGTGTCCGTCAGGGATGCTCACTATATCCATTTCTATTCAACTTCATCATAGATGTACTAATGGACTTAATCCTAAGTGACTTCAGCGACTCAGGGATTGACTTGCTACCAGGGAATAATCTTGTTGACTTAGAATATGCAGACGATATAGTCCTTCTAGGCGAGGACGCTGACAAAATGCAGAGTCTTCTGAACGCCTTGAGCTGCAATCTGGATATTTTTGGATTCGATTCACTCCCGCCAAATGTAAGGTGTCGTTACAGGACTGAACTACTTTGACTCCTAGATTAGAAATAGGGAGTGAATTGGTAGAGAGTGTTGACCACTTCGTTTATTTGGGAAGTACCATCAGCCAGTGCCAACAGGATGATCTCTGACGAAATCTCAGTACGGATACAGAGGGCTAGTTTTGCATATACCAGTTTATGCCGTCCCTGATGTAGAGGTGATATCCGGCTGGCTATCGATCGAAGGGGCGTGTGTGCTGCTCATCAGTCCACTCCGTCCTCCTTTATGGCTGTGAGACCTGGCTTTTGAGAGTGGAAGACATGAAAATATTAGCCGTCTTCATCAGTCAGTGAAATCCGCAACAGTTAGTTTAATTCAGCCACGTAGGGAGGTGTAGACTTCTTGGCTGGTTGGGGTCCTCGGGACGGTAAAAACCAGTGGTTGGTAACAATTGGTGATATGGCTCAAAATCGTCCTGAACGGCTGGCACAGATGAATCCACTCCTTGTGACTTATAATACCCAATAAAACTATATTGCTCTTTGATATTACTATACCTATGTCTCACACCTCTGTTTACTGTCTCTATTATGCCTTTCTTCCACTTTCTTTTTTTGCCTTGTGAGCTACAAGGAGTGGAGTGTGGCGACTTGAACTGGTGCACATCATTTCAAAATTCTATGTCGAAAACGTGCAGACAGACAGAATCGTCTTTTTGGTTTTCCTATATTGAACAAAATAAGGGCATTGAGAATGTGTTTATTGGATTGCCTAAATTTTAACCTATCTAATATTCCATTCTGTCTCTTTAACATTTAACAACACATTTAATATCTGTCTGACAGTGAATAGTTTTATCAGTTAGTGTTTGTTTCATTTATTGTTCTCACTCATTTACCTGAAAATGGGGTTCATGTACACAAGGCTATATGCCACACTTATTGTGTTTGTGAGAGAGAGTGAGGGGGGGGGGCTAATGTTATTCTACCTAGTTACTTTGGTTGACTCAGGTGGAACAACGGAATTCTGACCATGGACCTAATGTGATTACAAGTCAAATGCTTCGGTCAGTTAGCTGAATCTCTTCTACATTTTTGACAAACCCCAAAATTTCAATGTCAACAGCACTTAAAGCTTGAATTGATTTCATTCCATTTCTCCTTTTCGAATGCTGAACATACCGAAACTCCAATGTTAGCTATGTATGCGGAACAAGTTTCTTCGTATTAGTGTATGCACATTCGCGTGTTAAGTGGTATAATATGGTGGTGAGTAATATTGAGGTTAGGTGTAGAGTACTGAACAAGGGAGGGGGGTCAGTCGATGAGTTCCCTCCGTTACATCGATTGCGTTGGCTAGGATACGACTGGGTTAAAAACAAGAGTTAGTGGTGGTCGAACCAATTCATGAAGTCTGAGATAAGTTGGTATGAACTAGCCACTTTAGGGAGGTGTTAGAGTGCCTGGTTGAGATCTTTAGGATGCTAGGGACCGAATGACCGGAGATTGTTAGTGATGTGTCTCAAAGCCTCTCTCTCTCTCTCACTGTCGCACACATGCATTCAATCTTCATGTTTCTCCATGTTACTGTTCTTTCTGCCGTTCATTTCTACTTGTTATTTAGTTCTTTTGAGTTTATCCTCTGTTACATAGAGTGTGGTAGATTGAACTTCTGCCGAGTTATACAAAGTTCTGTGTTAAAATTCAATCTGTCAGTGTAAATTCACTACACACATTCTATGAAACCTATGCTTGTATCAGGTATGCTTATCAGTTATCGACAATTACACACCAAATCCTGAATTAAAATCCAATAACAAACAAAAGGAATTGTATACAAACACTATTCAAGAGGCCAAGGACTCATTGCAGCACTCCCACGTTAAGGAAAATTGAAGAAAAGTATCTCATGGACGTCTTCCGAAAGAATGGATATCCACGGAATTTCATCAAAAGATATATACCCCCAAGTCTACCTATCAAACCAAAAGTCTCCAAGGAAATCACAAAGAAAATCGCCTTACCATATGTAAAGGATATCTCAGAAATCACTACAAGGCTCTTCAAACCTTGATGAAGAATAGACGTCGTACACAAACCAACAAAGTCACTTCACTCAATTCTATGTCAACCAAAAGACTCAACAGCGAAAGAAGATAAAACCCACATCAGTTTCTACAAAATAAATTGTAACAACTGCGAGAAACACTACACTGGCCAAAGTGAACTACCCACCTCTTTGTCTTCTTATCCACGAACATAAGCTAGCCGACAAAAGACATGATATCCACTCCCTCATATCACTCACTACATACAGACAACCACGGACGTCAATTCGACTGGGATGGCCAACGTTCAAATATTAGACAGAGGAAACAACACCAAGAATGCTAGAGAATTTTTAGAAGCCAGCTTGGCATTCCAGTGAATCACCAATCAGTCGATACATAGAGGTAGACAAAATTTATCAACCGATAAGAAAGAAACCTCATACACAAAGGTTCAAAATTCAAGTCGAAGAAACAATCAGTTCCAATACAAATAGCCCAGAAGGTGTGAAAACACACAAAAACAACCCAACACGTCCAAGGTCACCAGGAGAGATGATTAATAAACTCGTGGAGAAATCTAAAAGCTTACTTCAATTCAAATTGAAGTATGAGCTGAAGATGTCGCCTAGTAGTGGGGCGATGAAAGCTTTGCAAATTAACTATCCAGCTCAGAGAACACAACGACATCCAAATCATCCATCTGAGGAACAAATCTTCTCTATTATATCTAATTACACACTCGCACCGAATAAAAATTCTTTCACTTTTTCTCTTTCTTTGTTCCTTAACTTAAACTTACTTATTTTTTGTCGTCACTATCATGCTACTTCGAATAATTCAGATTGTAAATATTCTCTAGGGAATGGAACAGAGCTTTTACATATAGTGCAGATACATTCTGTTTATTCAAATAAGCATGGATTATTTCTTTCTTTCGAAAGGCGATTCCACCTTGCAACTCAATTTGTTTACATACTTATAGTTATTGTTTGTGTTGTTTTTTCTGTTGTTTTTATTGTTGTTATTTTCTGTTTTTATATTTCAACTAATATTCCCCGTAAACCTGAATAACAAAACATTAAACTCTGTAAAATTTGTTTACATGTAACCTGGCAAGATGAATGAACAACGTGAACGTGTTTTCACATGTTATACGCACATAATATCGTTGTTTAAAGTACACTGATATACAATCTCCTACTAGTCTTCTGTTATTGTTGATTCGATTGACTGGTTACTTGCTCGTCATACAATGTTCGGTCGTCGAACGGAACTCAAATGGGAAATGGTGAGTTGGACGTCCAAAGGGTTAACTTGGAGAAGATTGTGTATGAGGAGGAGGAGATAAGAGCCTGTAAACAGTTATGCAGGCGGCTAAAGAGGACTGCAGAGAATAGGGCGAAAATGGGAATGGGCTACTGAAGTCCCACGTTCCAGTTGGAACCCAAAGGAATAGTCCAACAATCATTATATTTCTTGACCTAAAGACGTCATTCGATTCTGTCGACCGAGAGGTACTCTGTCGATGCTTGGCTGTAAAGGGAATGCCTAGAAAATACATTGAACTGATTAAGTCACTCACTCTACTCGAACCCATGCAGCCAGATGAGGGCTTACGGCGAGTTGTCGTCTGAAGTGGTGACAACTAGTGGTGTCCGTCAGGGATGCTCACTATAATCCATTTCTATTCAACTTCATCATAGATGTACTAATGGACTTAACCCTAAGTGACTTCAGCGATTCAGGGATTGACTTGCTACCAGGGAATAATCTTGTTGACTTAGAATATGCAGACGATATAGTCCTTCTAGGCGAGGACGCTGACAAAATGCAGAGTCTTCTGAACGCTTTGAGCTGCAATCTGGATATTTTGGGATTCGATTCACTCCCGCCAAATGTAAGGTGTCGTTACAGGACTGAACTACTTTGACTCCTAGATTAGAAATAGGGAGTGAATTGGTAGAGAGTGTTGACCACTTCGTTTATTTGGGAAGTACCATCAGCCA